GTGCTTTGGAGGGGGTTGCAGTGGTTACTGTTATTATTGTTATTATTACCATTCAGACTGTTTTCAGACTCACAGTGCTCGGCGAGTCTTCCCAGAGGCAGACGCCGAAAGGAAATGAATGTTCAGGGATTTGATTCAACGCCAATGAGAGGAAGGGCGTGGGAGAGGTGGGAGACCTGGCAGGCCAGGATGCAGGTGGGACGCCAACTGAAGGAGACGAGCAGGAAGGTCGTGAGGGGGGACCCCAGGCTGCTGGGTGGCAGGCGGGCTCCACATTTCATTTTTGAAGCTGGGTCCGGACGCTTTCCAGGATGGCTGCACCGAGTCACCCCCACCAACAGCGCCTCCACCCCGTCACCCCGTGTCCTCAGGCGTGTTTAGAAGGACCCGCCCCTGCGGCCCCGGGACACCCACCTGGAAGCAGAAGCCACACCACAGCCCTCACCTGTCTCTGTCGCTCCCTTTCAGACCATCCTGGTGGGCGACAGCGGCGTGGGGAAGACGTCTCTGCTGGTGCAGTTCGACCAGGGCAAGTTCATCCCGGGCTCCTTCTCGGCCACCGTGAGCATCGGCTTCACAGTAAGCACCGGCCGGCACCGCGGCGCTGGGCTGGGCTCCGGGCCCTGGTGTGGCTCTGCCAGGGCCCCAGCAGGAACAGGTGGACGGTCCTGTGGGGTCATTCAGGGAGTGGGCGGGGGGGGGGGGGTAGGATAGTGGGAGGGATGGAGCAGGTCCCTGGGTAGTTCCAGGGCCTCCATCCCACCCCAGGCTGAAAAGGTGAGAGGAGGGACAGGCCCCAGAGCCAGGGGCAAAGCAGGCTGTGTGGAGGGGGCTGCTGCCAGGGGCTGGACCTCGGGTGGAGGAAGGAGCCACCTAGGCTGGCCCTCCTGGGAGGAGCCAAGGCAGTTAGCTGGACCCCTCTCCAGTGCTCTCCTCCTGCTCCCCCATCTCCTTCTGGGGTGCCCATTGGCTGAACAAACTAGAAGCTAGCCAGCAAGGAAATACCGTGACTCAGAAGACTCACCCCCACCTCCCAGGGCAAGAAGAATCCAGAAAGGCAAAGGGACAGCTGCAAAGTCTATGCACAGTCCCAACTCAGTGTGTCACCGGGACTTGGGCGCTGGCAGGCCAAGGGTTCAGGTTCAGTTTCTAGCCCCCCCGGCTGCCCCTGGACACAGCCCAGAGGGGCTGCGCAGATTGAGGAGGGGTTCTCAGGCTTTCTCTACTCAATGGCCCTCGACTCACCGGGCAGAAAAGTCCTCCCTCCTCCCCAGCTTCATGTAGCAACTTGTTCGTCAGGTCCAAGGGGCGGGCTCGGGGACCCGGGACTCCGGAAGAGCCTTGGAGAGGGGGCACTTCCCCCCAACTGTGGCAGGCAGCAGGCACTGGGCTCCCTCCAGCCCCACTGCAGCCTCCTAGCATCCAGGACAGGGAAGAGCAGATGGAGCGCCTTAGGCTGTGGGGGCGTTTCACAGACCAGCTCTGGGATGGAGCAGGACACAGGGCCTGAGAGGCCACACCCAGGGCCGGACACCATGCCAGGTGGCTGGGAAGAGAGAGGGGAACTCCAGAAACTGGGCTTGCCATGGGGTCACACTCACAGTGAGGAAGTCAGGGTCCCAGATGGACAGAGCTTCAGAGGAGCAGAAGAGCACCTGCGAGGGAACACCCAGATATGGGGTCCAAGCCGGAGGGCCAGCCCCGGGCTGCCCAGAGCAGGGAGTGGCTGGGCTTGGTGCTGCAGGGCAGGGCTGGGCAGAGGCCTAGTAACCAAGCCCCCAACAAACTGGCTGCCAAGGCCTTCAGATGGATTTATAGGGGTGCTGACCTCAGTGGGGTCACCCAGCCACCCCTCTCCTACCCCAGTTCAGCTCTTCCTAGTTACGTCTTGCCTCCATCTCCCCCAAATTCTCCAGTTTTGCCCAAATACCTCTGCTAAGTTCACCCTCCAGAAGCCTCGCCCTGTTCACCCACACTCATATCTTCAGTGGCTCATGGTCTCCCCAAGTCTAAGCCCCTGGTCGGCAGGCCATCGCAACTGAAACCAGTCAGGGCAAGTGCTCGTTTTAGGCCCATGAAAACCTCCTGGGGGAGGTCAGCCCAAAATGCAGATTCTGTGGGACCCGGAATCTACATTGAACAGGCACCCGCAGCTTCTGACGCAGAGGAACCTGAGTTTAGGTAGGCCTCGCCCCTCAGCCTCCACCCTGGCCACCCCTCCATATCCTGACCCCACACCCCTTGGGATCTGTGCCGTTCCCCTTACTCTGGGGTTTTCTTCCAGCCTCCTGGAAGGCCCCCCTGCTTGCTGGAGGTCAGATGGCCCCCTCCTGGTCTCTCAACAGCCCTAGGAGTGGTGTCGAATGGGGGGGGCGGTGACTTGTGTGTGGTGCAGGGTAGGGGTGTCCGAGTAGGTGGGCTGTGTGTGCATTCTGGATTTCGGGGTGATGAGAGGTACTAGGGTGATTTAGGAAGTGCTTTATTCTAAGGGGGACATGCATATGTGGAAGTGTTGGGAGGTGCGTGTTTGAGATGTGTTCGTGTTGATGGGGTGTGAGCTGTGTCTGTAACTGCAATGTGGTCAGAAGGGTCTGTGGTCAAAAGTGTCCGAAGTGGGTGTGTTTGGGGGGGTCACGGAAGGCATTGTGTCTGTGGTGTGTGTGGTTATGGTGGGCCATAGGACACATGTGCTCATGGCATGGCACAAGTTAGTGTGTGTGGTGTGATCTGAGGCAGATAAAGCACGGTGTGGTGTGGTGTGAGGACTGTGTGAGGGGTGTGTGGAGTGAGGTATGTGTCTGGTGTGAGATATATGTGATATGAACTGTGTGGATCAAGGTGTGTGTGTGATGTGGGGGGTGTGTGATGTGGGGTGTGTGTCTTGTGGGGAGAGACGGGGCAGCCGCCGCGTGTATACTGCAGTGGAGAGGATACCAGGAGGCCCGGACTCCCAGGAGGGGGTTCTCCATTGGTTTCATATCTGAGGAGCCCCCTCGGTCAGTGAGTTGTGCTTCCTTCCTCTGGGGACGCTCCTGCACCCCCCAACTCTGAGCTTCCCTGGCCCCGTTCCACGTCTGACTCACAGGAGGCGGCTCATGAGGCTCATGAACCCACCACAGACCCACAGGGCTGAGGGTCCACACAGCAGAGAGCCAGGCACCGCCCTCTCCCTGGCTCCTGAGCTCCTCCCCTCAGCTGTTCCCAGCAGCGGTGCCACAGGCCATGCTTAGGGGCACCACAGGCCATGCTTTTATTTCTCTGTGACTTCTGGAATGTTCACACTTTCCAAACGTACCACGAGGCAAACAGGGACTTGGAGCCAAGGGCACAAGCATCAGGTCAGGGGGGTGGGGGGGACCCCCAGGGCCTGGCATAGCCTCTCCCTTGGCAGGACATTTGGGGAGCGGCCCAAGAGATCCAAGAGAAAGAGAGGGGTCAAAGTCCAAGCCCGCAGAGTCGCCATGCAAATGTGCAGCGAGCTGCGTGGCCAGAGAACAAAATGATGCTCAGCTGACTGCGGGGCGGGGTGCATTAGCAAAGGCAATGCCACCCGGCGCGGTCCTGCTCCCCCAGACCGCGCCCCTGGGGCACCCGTCCTGGCGAGGGGCGGGCTCGGGCGCCCCCTGCTGGCCGCACTGCGCAGCGGCGGGTCGAGCGCGGTCGGCGCATCCCGGCGAGGCCGGAGCCTGCGCGGCGGGCGGGGGCACCGGGGCGCCCCGGGGGAAGCCAAGCCCCAGGCTGGGTGGGGTACGCGAGGGGTCCCGGCGCTGGATGGGGCTCAGGCCTTCAAGCCCGTGGCCGGTCAGGGTTCCTCCAGGGCCCCAAGGGCCCCTCGGGCGCTGTCCTGGGCCCCGCGCGCCCTGGAGGGGCGGCTGCTCCGCGCGGCGCCATCGGGGCGGCCGGCGGGGGGAGGGGCCTGTCGGGGCTCGGGCCCCCGCGGGGCCGGGGAAGGGGGGGTGGAGCCGGGGGCGGGGCCGTCTCTGCTGGGTACCCCGCTTGCTCGCCGGGGCCCCAGCTCACCTCCAGCCCGGGACAGGACAGGCACGCCCGGCGCCGCGGCCACCCGGATGGCGAGGATTTGGTCTGTCCTGGGTGTTTGTTTTAAAGCTGTTTCTCCACCTGAAATCTGATTTGGGGTCATTTACAGAAAATATTCTAAAATATCTATTTTCAGTCCCACAAATTGGTCGACCTGTTCTCTTTCTGGTTTTGTGACTCACCCAATAACTCACTTGGAGGTCAAAGGAGTGGAGTCTGTCAACACAGGCTCTTTATTTTTTTTTTATTTTAAATGTTTTTATTTTTTACGTCATTGTTCATTTTTAAACAATATTTGCTCCCCCCCGCCCCGCGCCCCAGGTATAGTCCCCATAGAATTTCCTTCTCCAAGGCACCCGTGCACCGTCACCTCAGCCCCTGTGCGCCTCCCTCCCTCCCTCTGCTCCCTCTCCCTCCTCCTCCCCTGCAGATGTCTCTGATTTATGATGGTCTGAAAACAGACCAATTTACCGCGTCTTGCTAGAGCCCACTTGCTTGCCAAGTTACCAAGAGTTTGCGCCTTGATTTGTGGAGTAAAAGGGTAACACAGACTTGCCCCCAGCAGGCCCAGGGCAGTCCAGCCGCCTTTGCAGAGCACCTGCTCTGGCAAGCCCAGTATCAAGGTGATGTCATGACCGAGGGGCTCCCAGGGACCTGTTAAGGGGTGCACCTTCTCTTTTTTTAAAGATTTATTTATTTATGCATATAAGAGCTGGGATACAGGCCAGAGGTACAGGGTGGTTAAAGGATTCACCAGGGGCAGAGCGGGGAGCAGAACAGGCAGACTGACTGAGATCCACTGCTGAGGGGAGCAGCGGGGAGACAGGAGAGGTCTGCTGCGCCATGGGGGTAGCTCCCTGCAGTGGCTGCCAATCGCTTGATAGTGGTGCCACTTAACCCCTGCGCCACCAGGGAGGCCCGGGGTGCCCCTTCTAAGAGGGTTTGGCCTTCTGTTAACTGGTTTACTCTCCTCCTCCACCAACTGCCAGGTCTGCGGCAGATCCCCGTTCTCCGGCTGGTGAGCCAGAGCGCACACGGTCAAGCCCGATGAGCAATGGCGGCGTGAGCCCGGCTTCTGACGGGAATGTGAAGACCCAGCGAGGGGTGGTTAGGCGCTGGCTGACATTGCACAACTCCTTCCAAATCAGGCCTGCAGTTTCAATTCCCATGGCCACAGCAGTTTCGGTGCAAGCCCATGTGTGCCTATGAGGAAGGGCGTGCGTGGCCCAGAGAATCTTTGGAGTGTAGGCAGTGGTTGAGAGGCAGCTGCAACAGGTGAGCATTTTTTTTTTAATTTTTTTTTAATTTTTTTTTTTTATAGAGGCATTTTTATTTATTTATTTATTTGTTTGTTTTGTTTTTGTTTACACATGCACTGGGTACAGTCAGAAGTGCGGGAGGGTGAGAGAATTCACCAGAGCCAGAGCGGGGAGCAGAGCAGGCAGAAGGACCAAAGGACACTGCGGGGAGCAGCGGGCGGCAGGAGAGGTCTGCGCGCCATGTGGGACCCTCCTCCGGTGGCCGGGGAGCAGCCGGGGATCGAACCGGCGCCGCAGAGGCCGCGGGCAGCTTCGCAACCCAACGCTCAACCGCTGCGCCACCGGGGAGGCCCAAGAGGTGAGCATTTTTGTGGTCTTCGGTTGAAAGGTTGCAAGTTTGAGAGTGTTGTGCCCATTGACTCCTGAATCTACTGGCAAGGTGAGACGGAGGGATACAAGGAACTGGAAGGGGAGCCCCGTAGACTCACCCCTCATGGTCAATGAGTCCAACTATCACAGGGTGGTGCCCAGGAAAGGGGAACTTCTAGGGTCCCTGCCCCACCCAGAGGAGGGGGGAGCTGAGCAGGGAGGAGAAGCTGGAGAGGAGCCTGGGGAAGGAGGGAGCAGGATGGAGCCAGGAGGAGACCTGGAGGAGGCCCAGGGAGCAGAGAGACATGTCAAGAAAGGCGCTTGCTTCTTGTCCTGGGCTGGGTGACGCAGACGTGGGGGAGAGACCCGCGGGGAGGTGACAGTGGCAGCTTTTATCTTGATTTTCATTTTGCTCTTTTCCTCCCAGACTGTTTGTTTCTGATCCTTTTCTGTGGGTCCCCTCTGGAAGGTACTTTTGGGCCTTGCTTTCAGGCCTTGCTCTGGGCTAATCCCGTTTGGGTGGACTTTTACCCACGAGGGCATGGGAAACTGTGGGTGCTTCATTTAGAAACTATATTCTTTGCCTTTCCTGTATTGTTTCCTAATCATATTAAAGTTCCTTCCTATTAAAGAATTATATGGGCCTCCCTGGTGGCACAGGCGGTTGAGCAGCGCCCAGTGAAGCTGACCACAGCCTCTGCAGCACCGGTTCAATCCCAGCTGGCCGGCGAGGGTCCCACATGGCGCGGCAGACCTCTCCTGTCTTGCCCGCTGCTCCCCTAGCGGTGTATTTCGTCAGTCTACCAGTTCTGTTCCCCGCTCTGTCTCTGATGAATCCTCTCACTCTCCCGCAGATCCGGCCTGTACCCCAGTTCTTGTATAAATAAGTAAATCTTTAAAAAAAAAGAAATAAATAAAGTCTTACATGTTTTGTGTTGATGCGGCGGATGGCAGAACCTATTTAGAGCAGGCAGATTTGGGGCTTCTAAGGTATCCCTCTCCCTGGCCTGTAACACAACCAAGTCCCAAGGCAGCTAGATGGGAAAAGAGAAAAAGTGTTGCAACACAGACTATACCGTGGGGAAAAATCAATTGAATCAGGTCAAAAACGAAGCCCCATCTCCTGGCCCAGCAGGCAGGTCAGGAGGCCTCGAATGGATAAGGGGATGGATAAGGCGGCCGGGGACAAGGCCATAAAATCCCCAGCCAGGACCAGAAAAACCAGCCCCGCTCCAGGAACACAGAAGCAGAGGCCAGAACATGTTTCTGTGTCAAAGACCAGAGCCCGGGACCACACGTCCAGCAGGTGACTGCTGCAAACTGGTGCCCCGAGTTAGGAAGCTCACAATACAAAGTGGGTTGCCTGGTTGTGGGTCCTCACCCGCGCGCTTGAAAGGACTTATCAATACTCTACTGCAGGCGCACACAAAAGGTTCATAAAATGTTTATCTTAACAAATAGAGTATAAAAGATCCTCAAATCCTTCGCGCACAGACCTCTCCCGGCTCGCCCGCTGCTTTTCCTAGCAGGTGTTTCAATAAATCTGCCTTTTCTGTTCTTTACTGTCTCTGGCGAATTCTTTCACCTCCGCACCTCCAGCCTCACCCTCATATTACTCCCACTACAACTTGTACTCACTCCATACACAAAAATTAACTATAATTAATAAACCAGCTGATAATCAGATAGATTCATTAACTAGCTAATTGATTCTAAAATTGTTAGGGGGAAATGATGTCCTGAGTTAATCCCATACAGGCTTTGTGGACTCCACCCCCACTCCAGACTAAAGCCATCAAGACTCTGGGAAAGACAAATCCCATCACCACCAAAGGGAGGGTGGCTGGGACCTGAGGGTGGAGTTGGGCAGCCAGGTTGGATATAAAAACCAAACACGTGGGCCTTAGGGGCTCTCTGGCTCGCGATTGCTCGCCTCCTGGCTTCACCACTCCTGGCTGACAGCGAACTCTGAGAGCGCCATTTTGGGATTCCTGATTGGCGGATCGGGTAGGACTCATTTAAAACTTTGTCTCCCACTTTTCTCCCAGAGCTGTACATTTCCTCATTTCCCCTTCCCTTGTAAATAAACCTTTTATTAACCTTTCGCGTGTGCCTGCAGTAGAGCATTGATAAGTCCTTTTAAGCGCGCGGGTGAGGACCCACAGTCAGGCACCCCGCTTTGTATCGGGGTTGCTCTACAACACCTGGGCATCTGGAATGGAATGTATCAAAACTGGCGCAGATCACCAACGAAAAAGCAAGAACCTCGGTATTTTTGTAACAGGGTGGTCCCCAGGAAAGGGGGAGGTTCCCTGCCCCACCCAAGGGAGGTGGAGCTGAGCAGGAAGAGGAGAAGCTGCAGAGGAGACTGAGGAAGGAAGCAGGATGGAGCCAGGAGACCTGGAGGAGGCGCGTGGAGCCTAGAGACACGTGAAGAAACTGCGCTTGTCTTTTGGTCGTGGACGGGGTGACACAGATGTGGGTGAGACCCTTGGGGAGGTGACAATGGCAGCTTTTATCTTGATGTTGATTTGCTCTTTTCCTTCCGGGCTTGTCCAGTTGTTTGTGACCCTTTTCTGTGGGTCCCCACTGGAAGATGCTTTAGACTTGTAGCAGGCTTTGGGGCCTTGCTCTGGGCCAATCCCATTTGGATGGACTTTTACCCACGAGGGGGACGGGTAACTCTGGATGCTTCATTTAGAAACTAGACTCTTTGACTTACCTGTATTGTTTCCTAGTTTTATTAAAGTTCCTTCCCATTAAAGTCTCCTATGTTTTGTGTTGATGCGGCGGATGGCAGAACCCATGTAGAATAGGCAGGTTTGCGGGGTTTGGGCTGCCCCTCTCCCTGTCCTATAACATTTTCAAATGGGCCAGAGATTTGAATGGACACTTCTCTAAAGAGGATGCTAATCAGAAGAGCTAATGAAGGTAAGATTCTCCTTATTGTGTGAGTCCTTCTTAAAAAAGCAGTTAAAACTGTTAGGGGGAGAGGATGTCCTGAGCTAATCCCATACAGGCTTCGTGGACGCCACCCCCACTCCAGACCACAGACATCAGGATATTGGGAGAGACAAATCCCGTCACCACCAAAGGGAAGGTGGCTGGGACCTGAGGGTGGAGTTAAGCAGCCAGGGTTGGTATAAAAACCAAACACGTGGGTCTTGGGGTGGCTGGCTATCGCTCGCTCCTGGCTTCACGGCTCCTGGCTCGCAGCCAGCTCTCAGAGCGCCATTTGGGTTTCCAGATCGGCGGATCGGGTAGGACGCATTTAAAACTTTGTCTCCCATTTTTCTCCCTGAGCTGTACATTTCCTCATTTGCCCTTCCCTTGCAAATAAACCTTTTATTAACCTTTCGTGTGTGCCTGCAGTAGAGCATTGAAAAGTCCTTTTCAGCGCGCGGGTGAGGACCCACAGTCAGGCACCCCATTTTGTATCGGGGCTGCCCTATAACAAAACCACAGAGAATGATGCTGATGGTGACACAACAATATGAAGATACTGAACGCCACTGAATGTGCGGGGGCTCAGGTGAGGGGGTTCGGTGGGTGGGGTTGTTGGGTCCCTCTGAGAAAGAATTCAGCAGATGTTCCTACTTACCTGTTTATTGAGGAACGGAAAGAGAGACAGCTGCATAGACGCAGGCGGGCAGTCTTCAAAGAGTTAAACGCTCTGCCTTCTGCCAGGGCAAGGGTGTTGTTTGTAAAGTTCTTTGATGGAATTATTGTGGAAGCATTAGCCTTGGGTCACATTGGGTTGGTCTTCTAAGATCCGTAATCCTCTCTGCCTGGCCTCTGGCTGATAACCTTTTCTGACCCCGCCTCAGATTCCTGGAACCTTCCAGAGCCAGCTTTAGTTAAGATTCCTTAATCATCCCCTACCCCACCTCTGGTGTTTGTTCTTGTGAGAACTTCCATCCTGAATCTTTCTACTCTAAAATTCCATCAAACGTAGCTTAAAATGTGGTAGGTGCTGCTATCTATAGCTACCACAATTTAAAATTATATAGGTAGGTGCTGACAGGATCACCTCTATTCAAAAGATCTTGAGTGTTTATAGGGAGTTGTTATAGTCTTCATTCATAGTTGTCAAGACTTGGAAATAACCAAGTTGTCCTTCAACAGCAACAGACGAATGGGTAAACACATGGAAGTGCACCATGCAAAGGAATATTACTCAGTCCTGAAAAAGAAGTGAGCTGGAGCACATCGTGGCATACTACATCCTGTCTTTTCACCTTCCCTTTAACAAGTAAAACTCAGCCTTCGTTCCAAACAAAAATACTTCTGTGGAAGTGGTGGGATTCAGCAATTCAGACCCAGAAGGGTTCCCCAACTCTCAAGGGTAATAGCTATAGGTAATAGGTAGGGGCTGTGGAACTAGCAGGGGGCTGTGAGCCAGCCCCAGCCCGTCTCAGCTGCTGTCAGCAGAAACCTGGGACGCTCA